TCTTTTTATTTCCATGTGTTGTTTTTACATTTCGCTGTCTCCTGTTTTTACTTTACCTTATGCATTTCTGCCTCATTATGAAAATAAGGTGGGCGGAGCTTCTGGGGTCAGCTCCTCTCCTATTGGTCAGCAGACAGGAAGGAGCAGGATCCATGTGCAGATCTACTGTGCTGCTTGTGCTGCCTCAGTTTACCTTAAAGTTTAGTTAAAAACAAAGGCACAGGTAAGCGTTTTCTTCCTTGTCTTTATTTTAAACTAAACTTTAAGCTAAACTGAGGCAGCACAAGCATGCACAGTAGATCTGCACATGGATCCTGCTCCTTCCTGTTTGTTGACCAGTAGCAGAGGAGCTGACCCAAGAAGGACCGCCCACCTTATTTGCATAATGAGGAAGAAATGCATWAGGTAAAATAAAAACAGGACATGGAGGAATGTGAAAAGGTTATAAAACATAACTAAATTTAATAATGTAAGAGACATAAATGCATGTATAAKTAAAAGGTAAAACAAAAATTGTTCAGTTTTTTTAAAACAGTAAAATGTAAATTATGTGCTAAAATATATAACACATTGGAACTAAGCTGGAAAAATAAACATGATGATCAATTAAATTATAAAACGAGGTAAAGTTCTCCTTTATTAATTTAATTGGTGCATTTTAAGTGTATTTATTTATTTATTGGTCCATTTATGTCTGCTTTTATTTCTAAATTGTCAGATTTGGTCCTCCGTACTCCAGGGTCACGGGCTAAACTTCGCACAAGGCCAAAAATCTTCACCACATCAAGAGTCTTCTCTCCTGTAACCCTGAGATGACTCCAGTCTGAGGACACAATAGAAGTCACCAGAACCAGACAACACCCAGTTATTTCCCTCYGCAGTAAACCAGCTACAACTGAGGGGAAATCCCTGTTTTCTCTGTGTTTGTTTGTTAGTTTGCATCTGAATTGGGTAAAAGTCAAAGGTCAGGATGAAAAACAGAAGAAAAAATCTGAAGAAGTTAAAAATTTGTTATAACAAATACAGTTTGTTTTTAATTTGTTCTTGAAAACGTTAACTRAAAGGTTTCGAACAAAGAACGCGATAAGTGATGATCTCCAGCTCTCCAGGCCAAACCAACTGACCACTGCTAAATCAGACCTCACTTCTGCTGAAACAGTGTCCGACGCTGAATTTTTCTGCTCTCAAAACCACAAAAACAATCCGTAACGCTGTCAGGGGGGCACAGAAAGAAAACAGGACAGAGGGAGGAAGGCTGAAGGAGGCAGAACTCGCCACAAGCTTTTTCTGGCCTCTGTTGCTCTTTGCACTTCATCGCACAAAACTCAGCACGACCACAACTGGGGAAAGAACCTGTGTGCGCGCGTGTGTGTGTGTGTGTGTGTGTGTGTGTGTGT